ATCCCATGTTATTAACCTTGGTTCAAAGGTTATATGATTAGTGGGTTTATACCTGGGGGACCCTTACACCCGGGGGGGGGACCCCAACACCCGGGGGTGACCCCAACACCCAGGGGGGGGGGCAGCACCCAGGGGGGGTGACCCCAGTACCCGGGGGAACAAAACAGGAGAAAATAAGCTCTAAAGTGGATAAAAAGCAAAGAAAGATCCGTTGTCGCAATGTGAGTTTTAGGGGAAGAGATTTACAGGTGTTTTCGTTTCATTTAGCGAGAAGAGGAAGGAGGGGCGGGGAGTGATGGGGAGAGGGGGGGATGGGGCACGGGGCGAGGGCTCAGGGGTGGGGGAGTGTGTCGGCAGGGGGATGGGGTGGGGATATTCCTCTGCGTCAACACCGTTGCTTTGCCTGTCGGTGCACAGACGCAGACACTAGTCTGTTGGTTAGTTTATATTTATGCTTAAAATTGTGTAATAAGTTTTCACATTTTTCTCGTCTAGTTCATTAAGACTACGGTGAACTATTTTCATCAACTACGGTGAAAAAGTTGTTTGTGATATTGGTGACTTATTTGTCTAGTTCTCTTATGTCACTTCGTTCTGCTATTCCTTTGAACATGTTTATATATTTGGTCAATTGCCTTTAAAATCCTGCATGTCGCTATAATGTTTTCCTGTTCTTTCTTTCCTCCGGAGTTTTGTTAGTTCCGGTTCCCTGTCTGTCCTCTTATTCCAGTCCCTTCAGATTTAGATCCGATCTCGTAAAAATTCTTCCTCTTGAAGCGATACCTATTGCTGGTATATTTCTTCTGCTCTTCCTGTGTTCCTGAAGATTATTTGGATCGCTTCCCGTAGAAATATATCGGGCAATGCACCAAACAGGCTCACCATTTCTTTCTTCGTAGCAACTTTATTTTATTAATGTAATTAAAACACTATCGCCCACTATGAACTCTGCTCGCGTCCACTTTTTTTCTCTAGAGTCCCAGCCATGGACTGTGCTCGCGTCCAATACAAAAATATTTGTGTAAAATTCATTTTTTATCCAATCGACTTGGGGATAGTTTCAAAATGAGCGCCTTTAGAGTTCGCAGAGTTTGATACCAAAATGAAAGATGTAACACGAAACTTGATGTCAGAACACTTGAAAGATTATAAATACGTTTTTGGTCAAAATTTAAAAATATTTGTTTATTTGTTAAAATTCTATTTATTGTGCTATTATTGTGGGACTAGTTTTAAAATGCGCGTCTTTAGATTGCGAACAATTTGATACCAAAATGAAGATGTAACGCGAAAATTTATGTCAGAACACTGGAAAGATATAAAAAAATTGTGATGAGCATCCAAAATTAAAATATTTGTTAAAATTCCAGTTATTGCTCTATTATTATGGGAATAGTTTTAAAATACGCGCCTTTATATTGCGAACAATTTGATACCAAAGTGAAAGACGTAACACGAAAATTGATGTTACGAAATTGAACGAGTATTCACATTAGGCTGCGGTGTGCAAATTGGTGCAACTCATTCGCAGGTAATTTTAGGCTTTGCTACTGGGAGTCACGCCGTGCTTTTGGACATTATATGCATATACACTTGCAGGGAATTTAATTGCGAGCACAATGATACGAAAACGAACGACGTAGCACGGGAATTAAGGTGAGAAAACTGAAAACGAGTATACACATTTAAGGATTTTGTGTGCTCACGGGTAACTTTTGCCGACTTAAGGCTCTGCTGTGGAGAGTCACGCCGTGCTTTTGGACATTATATGCATATACACCTGTAGGGAATTTAATTGCGAACAGAATCATACCAAAACGAACGATGTAGCACGAGAATTAAGGTGAGATAACCGAAACGAGTATACACATTTCGGTGTCGCCGCGCGCTCGCCCGCACGATCGCCTGTACGCCAGAGGCATGACCTCTAAGTTGGCGGAGCGCATGCCCTAGGCGCGAAAGCGCAAAGGCACGGTCCGACTGACGATTTCCTGACAACTCTCAACATTTATTTAGACTTTCATGGCTGGACCCCTGGTTGGTCTCGGAGTGCAGCCATCTCGCTCCTATTGGTCACTTGACAGCGGAAGTTTTTTTCAAACTAGACATGTAGAGGTTCCAAAAGATTAGCTCCATATCCTCGGCTCTCTAATCTTTGCCGCCAAAATCATTGGCGTCGCAACTCTCTCCGTGCCTGCAACAATACGATACGGCGCCATATTGGTTATTTCCTCGACTCCAAAACCATTTATCCCCCCCCCCCGCACTTGTGCGGAAAAGGCTCGTTGTAGGCATACTCAATGCTACAATAAGAGCATTGTAGGCATTGAATTGAATTGAAATTGAAGTAAGTTTATTGAGGTAAAATACACACACACAAAGGAATGAGGTAGCTCAAGCTATTCTCTTATAGGCATGCTCGTACGCACTAGCGTACGAGTGCTACATACGCTAATGCTCGTACGCTATTTTATTACCATCATGAGGGTTGATTTTTAGAGCGTAAGTTGTTGTGTGTTAAGCGGGATTACACAATTGTTTTTACTATAAGAGGAGATACCAGTGAAGACAAATACGCGTACCGAACTCGCAAGTCAAATTAATATTTATGTAAAGTTATTACGGCGCCAGATATACTATTTATAAGTGAGCCTGGCAGTCAGTCAGTAGCAATATATGTGTATACCTTGGGAGAGGGGGGGGGGGTTGTGTATGCGCCGGGAGTCCTCATAAGACTATTCATGAGGTGTATATTGACACCTCATGATTGGTCATTGTGTGTATGTAATGAAAACTTGTGTATACTTCATGGCCCTTCATGTTTATACATTTGAATTCTTCATGTGTACACTCGTGTGTATTTATCGTCACCACTCGTGTGTGTATACCTTGGCACCACTCATGTGTATACCTTGTCACCAGTCATGTGTATACCTTGGCACCAGTCATGTGTATACCTTGGCACCACTCATGTGTATACTTTGGCACCAGTCATGTGTATACATTGGCACCAGTCATGTGTATACCTTGGCACCAGTCGTATGTATACCTTGGCACCACACGTGTGTATATCTTGAGACTATTATTTCTTGGCAGGTTGAGAGAGCACCATGGGATTCAGGCGAGTGTCACAGAGTTAAACAGCCGCCGACGGGCTCAGGCTGTCGCTATTTGGGGCTCCGTTTTTGCTCATTGCTCCTCCAGCTTTGTTTTATTAGCCAGGAACTGAATAATTGTGTGTGTGTGTGTGTGTGTGTGTGTGTGTGTGTGTGTGTGTGTGTGTGTGTGTGTGTGTGTGTGTGAGTGTGAGTGTGTCTTTGTGTCCGTGTGCGTTTGTGTCCGTGTGCGTTTGTGCTGTTCCACTTGTTGGATATGTGGTTTTATTATTGTTTTTACTCTTCGTGTTTGTTATACAGATTATTCACGAAGCAGTTACGCAAGCACTTACGAACGTGTACATCTTTCCTCAATCTTTGACGGCTTTGGTTACATTTATTAAACAGTTTACAAGCATGAAAACTTGCCAATCAACTGTTGTTATTGTTATAAACAGCCTCCTGGTGCTTCGGAGCTCATTAACTGTTTAATAATTGTAAACAAAGCCGCCTAAGATTGAGAAAAGATGGACAGGTTCGTCAGTGTTTGCGTAACTTCTTCGTGAATCTAGCCCCTGGTCAGGATATCTTTGCTGATAGTGTAAAATGATTTTATCCTTTATAGAGCCTTGTTCATGCTTTGTTAGGTACTCACCTAGTTGTGCTTGCGTGGGTTGAGCTTTGGCTCTTTGGTCGGTGTCTAGAAATAAATGTTATGTTCTTGCCAATATATGGAGATAATTGAGGCTGTCCCCAAGGGGCATGTAAAGGCGCAGACGGTATTTGTCTCTTTAAAGTCGTTCCGTTATCGTCCTCCATGAAGTTAACTTGTATCCGCGATGGGATTTGTGTCCTCTCATCATGATGGGAACTTCACCGAAACCCGTCATTTAGTGTCACACGTTACGCCAAATACAATTGTTAAATTTACTTTGTTAACTTAATTTTTAACTTCACAAAGTGAAGAACATAGGAAATATGGAGAAGTTACGTGCTAGAATCATTGATCTAACTCTTTTTCTCATATACAATAATACTCTTAAATATATATATGTAATTACTGAATGTGCATATATGATTTTATACATGTGTATCACTATAACTCTATGACCCCTCAGTGGATTCGAACCCAGACCGCCAGGGGTCTCCCCACCAACAGCACCGGTACTCGACCACTGCACCATCCATTGTCAGTAAGTGGTGATTAGTCACGGAATCTGTACAAGTTCCTTGACCAACCAACATCCGGCCACACTCGTGGCGCATTCTGCGCTCAGTTATTTCATAAAATCTCTGAACATGTTAGGGCCGCACTGAGTACATGTGTGAGCTACTTGATCGGGAGACCACTGGCGGCCTGCATGGGTTCGAATCCTCTGAAGTTATAGAGTTAGTGATACGGACTTGAGGACCGTTCAAGTTTTCTTCATGTATGACGGATTCATGTGGCATTCATCCTCGTATATTATCTCGTGTATATCTATAGATTTCATGTATGTATATATGTATGAATAGTTCTCCGGTCAACAGCATTTCTGATAGTAAATTGTGGTGTGAGCGTGACCCGTGTGAGCGTGGCCCGTGTGAGTGTGACCCATGTGAGCGTGACCCGTGTGAGCGTGACCCGTGTGAGTGTGACCCGTGTGAGCGTGACCCGTTTGAAGCTACAGGTCACGTGGTAGAGGAAGACATGGGAGCTCTCCCACCATAACTACCATAGTGGGTCTCCCAACCATCTCCCTCCACCACCCTCCCACCTCCAACACTAATATCACCTCTACCACCTAGTGGCTGCTGCTCCACTTGCTAAATATCCAGTATAAACACCGATCTGGCCATTTACATAAATAATGCAAGAATATAAATCCTGATGCATTTAGCAATATATATGGTTTTCTGTTACAGGTGTGTGGAGGTACTGGTGCTTCCACAGGTGTACTAGTACAGCTGCTTCAACAGGAAGTGGACGGTACGCTCTCTCCCACACACCACCTGTCCTCTCTCCCTCGTGTTCACTTGATCATCTAAGCCAAGTTTCAAACGTGCGCCGTCAAGCAAGGCTCATAAGACAGGCAGGTATGAGCCGGCGAGCAAGAGGCAGATGTGGGTAGTGTTTGAGTGGCTCCGACATCCCAGCAGTTAGCCGGGGCGCGCTCCGCTCACTAGTCTAGGCTATAACCGGATTCCACTCTCGATGTTCCGTGTTGCGTTATAATGGAAAAGGAAATTTTGTCGTTTTGTGCTCAGTGTCCGTGTGTAGTGTTTGTGTATCGGTGGTAATAGTGTCCGTGACAAGGAAAACAAATATATAATTGTGTTAGCGTGTTGCCGTGTATTATACATTTCGTGTGAGAAAACAGGTGAAGGTGTTGGTGATGTAGAGGCAGCAGCACCCAGCTGTGTATTAGTATGTTGAAGCAACCACTAGTTGAAGATGTGTGTCCTCGTATCACTAGTGTTGTGTATTCTTCGTATCAAATTGTTCCTCAGTAACTTCGTATAGCGGTATATTGCCTGATGGTGTACAAGATGCTTATTGAAATGTATTAAATCTAAGGGCAGCCAGCTTGCCTCTGCAGCTTGAAGGCAGAAATAGCAATGAACAGTAGAACAGCGTCTAGTACCGTTGACATGATTACATTACAAAATAATTACAAATTGTTCCCGTAAGTGTGTGAGGGTACGGAGTGGAGAGGATGGGACACTAAAGACAAACAAAACAAACTTGGACAGAAAGAGATACAACCCATCAAATGTTCAAACAAAATTATCATCATCATTTTGATAAATCAACTAAAAGTTTAAATCATGGATAAAATTATACACGAGCCAAGTGTTAAATGATGATGATTTGGGCATGATAAACCCCCTTCGGACGGTCAACCTAGAGCTGCTTGCCATGGCGTGGTGAGTGTGTTGGCGGGGTCACTCCAGGCATCACTCTCTCTTCCCCCGAGGTGGGCTGCAACACCTTAAAAACTCACCCGCCTCCCGCACCAGGGCTTTGTGAAGTAAAAAAGGCATTATCAAGAGAGCGAGAGAGCAGCCAACGCACAAGAGAAAGGTAAGTACAAGCTTCAGTGTTTATAACCCCGCTGGGCCATGTGTTGATTTACTAGCGCTTTCCCAACTTCTTGTTTTGGTCTATTGCAGCTGCATTGGTTAGTATTTGGGCCAGTTCTTTTGTGGTGTGTGTGTGTGTGTGTGTGTGTGTGTGTGTGTGTGTGTGTGTGTGTGTGTGTGTGTGTGTGTGTGTGTGTGTGTGTGTGTGTGTGTGTGTGTGTGTGTGTGTGTGTGTCTCGTGTGTGTGTGTGTGTGTGTGTGTGTGTGTGTGTGTGTGTGTGTGTGTGTGTGTGTGTGTGTCTGTGTGTCTGTGTGTCTGTGTGTGTGTCTGTCTGTCTGTCTGTCTGTCTGTGTGTGTGTGTGTCTGTCTGTCTGTCTGTCTGTCTGTCTGTCTGTCTGTCTGTCTGTCTGTCTGTGTGTGTGTGTCGTGTGTGTGTGTGTGTGTGTGTGTGTCTGTGTCTTTCTGTGTGTGTGTGTGTGTGTGTGTGTGTGTGTGTGTGTGTGTGTGTGTGTGTGTGTGTGTGTGTGTCTGTGTGTGTGTGTGTGTGTGTGTGTGTCGTGTGTGTGTGTGTGTCTGTCTGTGTGTGTTGGGTCCCGCCTTTCTAACCGATCTATATCTTCCTCCATTATATCTATTATATATATTGTAGATATAATGGAGGAAAATAATTATATAATTCATACCACCTGGATAGTTATCCAGATATTTGTGATCTGAAAGTATATTACGGTTCCAGTAATAGCCTACATGTAAACTGGCAAATGAATCTGTCATAATCAGAGAATATTCTTAAGTTATAAAATAATTGTATTATAAATAGTTGGTTTAAAGTATAAGAAGTGGATGCTGAAAACGTCTATGTTGAAGAATTTGTTTTTCTTCAAACGAAATTCTCGGGAACATTGAAATAGTTTTCGACTTCCATATTTCACATTATCATCAATAATACACTATTAACGTAACCAAACGTAATGAAACTTAACCTAACCCAACCTAACTTAACTGTCCGAAACGCTTTGCGTAATAGTGGCTTTAGGCATTGTATGTACTAGCTCTATCTTTAAATCCATCAATATTTGTATCTCACCTTGTATGTATGTACTTTACCTGAATAAGTATTTGTATTTTGTATTTGAAACCTTAACCTAAAGTAACCGCAATTTAACCATATATAAAGTAGATAATAGCACTACTGATGTAGTCGTTCCCAAGCCACTCCCTTGAGCGGATCTCCTCCCTGAGGACAGGTTGCTCGCGGCCCCCCGAGTGTGTGTGTGTGTGTCCGCGTGTGTAGTATTTGTGTACACGAAGCTGACAATGTTTTTATTCACAAACGATTCGTTTTTGGGAGGTGATCAATGGTCGGTGGTGCTGCACACACACACACACACACACACACACACACACACACACACACACACACACACACACACACACACACACACACACACACACACACACACACACAAGTTGACGGTTGGAACAAGTTAGGTGAGAAGGTGGTGGAGGCCAAGACCGTCAGTAGTTTCAAAGCGTTATATGACAAAGAGTGCTGGGAAGACGGGACACCACGAGCGTAGCTCTCATCCTGTAACTACGCTTAGGTAATCACACACACACACATATGTGGGGGGCCGGTGGCTAAGTGGACAGCACGTTGGATACGTAGTCCTGTGGTCTGGGGCTCGATTTCCGGCGCCGGTGAGAAAGAATGGGCAGAGTTTCTTCCCCCCCCCTGATGTCCCTGTTATCTAGCAGTAAATAGGTACCTGGGAGTTAGACAGCTGTTACGGGCTGCTTCCTGGGGATGAGTGTGTGTGGGTGTGTTAGAGAGAAATACATGTAGTAAACATAATTGAGGAAAAATAGAGTGGTTAGAAAGGCGGTGTCCATGAGCTAATAGCTCGATTTTGCAGATACAAATAGTAAATACAGGACTGGGCGAGACGTATGGCAAGTCTCCTTACACCCATTGCCTCTGTACACCTAACGCTAATTAAGAACTTGGGTGTTAGTCGACTGTTGTGGGTGGCATCCTGGGCAATGGTCAAATGCTGCATATATCCCAGGTATATCCAAGGTATACTCGAATTTCTCACAAACGCCGCAAGGCACAGCACGAGGACAATAGCTGGAGGGCAACACATGAAATATGCCGCAAGATAAAGAAACTATAGCCACAAGGCCACTACGAAGAGTGGGCCGAAAGGTCAGAGTCCAAGAAAGGGTTCACGCCCAAATAAAGCAACTACTACTACACAGGTCTTCACGGCCGAGCGGACAACGCTCACGGTTCGTAGTTCAAGAGGCCCGGGGTTCGATTCCCGGCTGAGGCAGAAACAAATGGGCAAAGTTTCTTTCACTTTATGCCCCCTGTTCAGCTAGAAGTAAATAGGGACTTGGGAGTTAGCTGTTACAGGCTGTATCCTGGGGATGTGTGTGTGTGTGTGTGTGTGTGTGTTAGAGAAAAATGATACAGGTCTGAGAGAGGAAATTATCTGTACGGAGTTAGTTCGTTGACAAGCGATGGTTAGAAAGGCGGGGTTCATTTGGGTCGTGCAGGTATAAAAGGGTTGGGACCTAGTCAATGTTTCGTAAAGGTTTCCTGCCAACATGGTGTATATATCTAACCAGGCAATTTATATCCTGTGATGAAGAGTACTTGAGAACAGTTCCTAAAGTCGCTCATCTCACGAGTCGAGACTAATCCAGCACTTAGCATCTACTTACCAAACTTATATATTTTTCTTCAATCCTGGCGTCCTTCTTTACATTTATTAAACAGTTGTTGTGCTTTAAAGCACTATGTGATCGTTTACAATAATAATAATAACCATAAATTATGAAATTTCGAAGCTCGTTTACTGTTCAATAAATGTAAAAAAATAAAGCTGCCATTATTGAGAAAAGATGCAGAAGTTTCTTAAGTAGATGCGGAAATGCTTGACGAATCCTGGCTCGTGGAGTACAGTGATAGATAAGACTTACTGCTAAGCTGCTTCCTTAGGCAGGCTCTGGGCGCCTGAGTCACGTGCCGAGGAGCGACAAGGTAGTCTGCTTGCTTGAAGGTGCTGACACCACACAAGTAACGACACAGCATTTCAGCTCGTTCTCACACCACGGTAAGCGCTCGTTATGTAAGGTCTTGCCTGCCTTAAACTAGCCCAGTCATCATAAACTGTCATCACTGGTTCTCATGGCGGTGGAAAAGTCTACTTCTATATATTTTATAAATTTCATAAAAAGTGATTTTGTGTGTGTGTGTGTGTGTGTGTGTGTGTGTGTGTGTGTTAGGTTTGTTGGTGTTTGTACGTCTGATGTGTACAAAATTGTACATAATTATACGTTGCAATATGTAAAGTGTCATGCAGGCTGTGTTAGTCATGCAGACGTGCTGCAGCAGCCTGCTTTGTTGTGGTGAGCTCCTTCCTCTTGCTTCCTCCCTCTCTCCCTCCATCACACTCTCCCCCCATGTGGAATACACACATTGGGATGCAAGAGGCAGCAGTCAAGCCTTACGATGTGTGCTATTATGGCAGCGGGTTAGAGGAAAACATACACTCTTGCCGCAAGTTATGATTTTGTTTGTTTTAGCCATAATCAGTTCCACACTACCTAAGCTTGTTTATGAGTGTGGCCACTCGTGGTGGTGCTGAGTTCACCAGTACATACACGCACTCAGTATGGGGATACAAGCACAGATGTAACACTGTGTTGGCTCTGTGGGTCATGCCTAGCAGGTTTTATTTACATCCAGTCATTCGAACTCATTTATCTGTCATAACTTAAGATTCAGGCTTTCTAAAGACTGGGTTAATGGCACTACTTGACTGGGTCTTAACCCACCTACAGCTGTGTTGCCAATCTATTGATTTATATATTTGTGTCTTGAAAAGAGAATGTATCTCTTTGGCTAAGGTTGGGGGTCAAAGGCTTGAGGCTAGACTCTCTAGGCTTTGTAGAGCTGCTGGTTAGTGTAGAGGGGTGGTCACTAGGCGCTGGCCCTTATGCCACCTTTCGAGGACCTGATGAAGTCAGTGAGGGAAAGACGTGACAAAACACATGTTTTATTGACAGATTTTCACTCCTTGGGAGCTCTTAACACACTATTGCACAACCCTTTTGAGGTAGACCCGGGTACTGCCGGGTACCCCATCCCGGAAATTATAATATAATTTTTTTTTATTAAATTTCATGTTGCACATCGTGTGTATTACTAACATACTTTCTGTTTCGTTATGTTTTTGTTCCATCTGTACTCCTGTCATGTCCCTCAGTCTTCGCATTTCATGAGTGTAACTTCAGTGTTGTCAGTCTTCGTGAGAATATTTCCTGGTACCAAGGGTTATTTGGCATCTCTCTGCCATTGTTTTTCCCAGATAATATAATTATGTTTTGTAGTATGGCGACGTGACCTACAACGTTGGGTGGTTGGTTCTTCTCTCTATTCACTCAGCCAACTACTCTGAAAGAATTGTAACTTGGGAATCCACTTAATATTCCCTCTAAGCTTCTAAGGTATCTAAGCTTCTTGCCAGTTGAATACCCTTCCCGGGGGCCCCCGTGGCTGAGACACACACACATGATTTGTGTTCCAATACGCTCTCAGTTACCAATGAATTCACACCATGTTAATCCCAGATTAGCTTTCTATATAAAGTTGGGACTTGACATTGTGCTACTTGATTGGTACTTCAGACTATTGGTTAACACTGTTCTCGCCACGGGTGCTCATGTCTTCAGGCAACATTATACTTATTATATATTATATATATAATAAATATATATATGTATAGTCTCTAAAAGGCCAAGTTGCATAACAAGATCCCCTATAATTATATTTTTGTCTAAATTTTTTCGCATGGAATGATAAAGCTCTCCATTATATTATATATGATTAATTTTTTTAATTCGAGTTAAAATTAATATAGAAATTTGATCAAACCTAACCTGACAACTAATTCAGTTATTCATGTTCTTAATATAATATAGTAACGCTA